CCCCCCCCGCCCGGGTCCCTCCCTACCCCGGGACTTAAAAAAAAAAAAAAAAGCAGCTCCGCACTCACTGGCTGCAGCAGTGAGTCTTTGGGGCTTTGGGGTCTCCCGGCAGAACCCCCCCCTCACAGCCCTCGCTCCCCAATCACACCCCCTGCCTGGCCCTGCTTCTGATGGCTGCCCTGCCTGGCCCCAGCCTCCCAGCAATTAAAACAAAAAAAAGGCCCTGTACTCACTGGCTGTAGCAGCGGGGGTCATGGCCTCTGAGGGCTTGTGGCAGAGCCCCCACCTCAATGCAGGCACAATAGTGCGGGCAGCAGGCCCCCCCCCCACTTGGCACCTACACAGCAGCTGTCACATCACACAGGGACAGGGCACTGCGCGCTATCTGGGAGCTGGGGCAACTCCAGCAGTCAGCCGGAACCTGGCATTGCTCACCCCAGTGGCCCCAGCTCCCAGACAGCGTGCAGCACCCTGCCAAGCCATGCTGCACCCGTGCCATGGGGCAGCTGCCACGTGGGTGCCAGGCAGGGGGGGCAATCCCTGCTGCCCCCCAATGCCCTGTGCTGCACAGGGGGGCTCTGCCACAAACCCTCAGAGGCCCTGATCTCCACTGCTGCAGCTGGTGAGTGTGTGGGTTTTTTTCTTTTTTTTAATTGTTGGGAAGCTCGGGCCGGGGAGGGCAGCCATGAGGGCTTCTTCTGCGGCTGTCCCCAGCCGATCCGAAACTCTGAATCTTTTCCAAATTGATTTGGAGACTTTGGATTCAATTCGGACCTTTTAATGGGTTTCCTGATTCGATTCGGATTCAGAGATTCAGCAGCCAAATCAGGCCAAATCTCCTCCAATTGAATCGGCTGCTGAAGCTTTGTACAGCCCTAGTGACTACCTACAGACATTGTTTCTTCTGAGAGTGTCACTGCTCTCCCAGGAGAAACACAGTGTATAGGCATTCATGATTGGAAGAATGTCCCAAAAATGGCCACTCTGGGAGAAAAATAACTTGGGAACAACCCACATGAAGTAGTTCCCAGGAAAATCTCTCAGGAAACTGAATATCTGTATAGGTACAGTAAGTATTACAGCACTGCTTCACAGTGAATCGCTGTGCCGTGCCTTTTAGATATTCATAGAACTTTTAAGTAACACTGGATAGTTAATAACTGTTAACTATATATATTTTAATATATGTTTTTATTGTTAGAATTTCTATTTTTATTTTATTATTTTTTCCATTAATTTCTGTGGCCTAAAATGGTGATTCAGGTTGCTTTTATTTCTATCCTGACAATATCATCTACCACTAGTTGTAAATGTTCATCTGTTAATGTGGTTAGCACAGCAAAGAACAATATTTTTTGTAGTTTTGTGAGAACAATACTATGTTTTAATATGAATCTCTTTGTATTGTGAAATATAGCCAATAATTACTTCCCTTTTCCTGTTTTCTAGTTGAAGCTCTGTATCAAGCCACTTACCCAGAATATCTCCAATACATTTACCTAGTGGCTCCAATTTCTCTTATGATTTTAAACCCTGTTGGATTTATCTTCTGTGAAATCCAGAAATGGAGACAGAATCGCAGTACGTCACATAACAAAATCAAAATAGTGGGACTTGCTTTGCTTCGAGTGTTGCAGAACCCAATAGTATTCATGGTCTTCATAGGAATTGCCTCAAATTTTATTCTTGGCCAGAAGATTCCAGTATACCTTGAAAACTTCCTTGATGGACTAGCCAGTTCATTTTCTGGTTCAGCACTTTTTTATCTTGGACTCACCATGGTGGGACAAATAAAAAAACTGACAAAGGGTATGTTTATTGCACTGATTCTTCTCATCACAGCTAAACTGTAAGTTTGACCTATTTACTTTTTGCATTCACGTGCTTCAGTATTTTTGTGGATTTCAGCAAAGTGAAAAACTTTAAAGGGAGTGTCAAGATTATTCTGTTTTTCTTAAATAAATCCATAGCTCTTATTGTTAATAGTTAAAATTGTTTGGGTAACTTTTTAACAAATATACTCTTCAGCACCCTACACTATGGGTTGCCAATCTTTTGCAAACACAGGCTGCAGCTTGGAACCCTGAGGCCAGCTGCTCCAGCGAGCAGAGGCTGCAAGGGGAAGAGCAGCCCTCCATGGGGTCTGTAGCAGTTGGCTGTAGGGGTGAGGTGATAGGTGTGCCATTAGCAAAATGTGAACCAGATTGAATGGCTGATTAATTGGCCTGCCCTTAGTAAAATGTGGACCAGATCACACTTTCATGGGCTGGATCCAGTCCCACTGTGGGCCAGCCCCTGCTCTGAACTGCTTGGTCTTCATAGGTAGTGAAACTGAACTATTCAGCTTCACTTGTTCATAGTATTTCATAGAATAATAGTACTGGAAAGGGACTGCAGGAGATCGTGTCCAGCCCTCTGCTCAAAGCAGGATCATTCCAGTCTAAGGATGCGATTGGATGTAACAATTTAAACATTTCTAAGGGCTAGCTAGCTATTCTAAATTATAAAAGCCTAAGTCTGTCCGTCTATAACACTCTATTCACGCTCTGATTGGCTGACAGAAACAAGCGTGGGGGAGTGCCACCATGATTCCAAAGCTGCACCGAGGACTGGACAGAGGGTGGGGGAGCTGAGGCCAGCAGTGCTCTTGCAGGGAGTGGGGTAGGGGAGCTAAAGCCAGCCAATTTTTGATGTGCAGTTGATTACTACAGATATACTAGGCCTTTAAAATGTTCCAGAAGTGGCCGAAACACTCCATCTAAAGAAGGACAAATTTTGAAGTAGTATTATGAAGTGTTTCACTTCTGGTTACATGTGTAGAGGGGCAGCAAGCGGGAGATGGGTTGGGGTCGGGATTGGGGCTGGAGCCAAGCATTGGGGTTCCCCCCTGTCAGCTCCCTGCAGCTCCCATCAGCTCTGAACCTGGGTCTGTCAACCCCAATGCCCTCAACCAGTCCCCTCGAAGAGGGAGAGGCGAAGTTTAGGAGAGTTTGGGAGCTCCCTCCACTCTGCTTACCTGTGCTCCAGTGCACTGTTCTTCCTACCCCTCTAGTTCCTGTCCCTATGAGGGGAAGAGGGAGTGGAGAACTGAAAGCAGAGCTCTCAATGTGGGAAGTACTTAACTGTCATTAATGCTTTTCTTTGCTTTGATTTTTTGTGTAGATTTTTTTCCTTCCTTTTCTCTACAGGCTCAAAAACCTTTTTGTTTGGTAATATTGGTCAAGATTTTTAAACCTGGTTGCCTAAAACTTGTCTTCTAGCTCCATATCTGAGGTCCTAAAAATAGGAGGCTTAACTTTTTCAAAGGTGGTAAAGTGCCTATTATTGATCTTAGCTCAGCACTTCTAAAAATAAGTCATTTCTATTGACATACATAAATGTGAAGTTGTATAAAAAGCCTTTTAGTATATGATGGCAAAATGGATTTATATGGTAGAGATTCCAGTTCTCAGTGTAACTTATGCAGATTTCTTTGTTGCTTTTTGATTTCAGATTGTGTCAGATAGTTGATATTTGCGTGCTAGTGTATGTGCCATTAACCCTGTTTCAGGTTTACAGAAAATCTCTTGAGAATCTAAGCTTACCACCCACAAAACTTTCCCATTGGGACTAGTTGCTCGCTGTCTTTTTCCTGAGAGAGGGCAGAATGCTCCCAATTATTTAATTTCATTATTTGTGGACCAAAAAAATATTTTATTTGCTAGCATCCTACTCACCATGCCATACTTGCATGGTGATATTTTTCTATCTGCAGCCTGTGGGGTTTCCTCAGTTCTAATACAGTTGTCCCCAAGACTAGCTGCCACTATACAGCAAGTTTTCCCCAACTCTGAGAGCAAGATATACAGATTACCTAGCTTTCTGTGGTTTTGCTACTCTAGAGACTGCCTGGGAGATGATGGGAATGCTAAGAATAGAAACATTCCCATTGTCTCAGCCCCAAAATCATGATAAGATCTAGATTGTTTTCATGCACTTAGTCCAGCTGCCTGAAATAAGGAGTTTTTTCTAGATTCTGGGCCAAATTCTAATCTCAGTTGTACTGATTTAAAAAAAAAAACAAACCTCACTGATTTCAATGGGCATTATATCTGTCCCTAAAACTGTAATATGTTCTAAAAGATTTTTAGTGGTGAGTCTGAGATGGGAGTCTCAGCTTTTATTTGTAGCAGTTTATATAAACGTGTTGCAGTAATTGGCCAATATGTAAACTGACAAATCAATTTTACTGTCTTTCTTTAAAAATGGTGTCACCTTCATTTGGACATTGGTATATGCATCATTGTAGGCAGGGATGCAGTTGTTAAAAATAATTGCTTTTTTTCTCTGTATATCATTAACAGTAGTATTCAGACAAACCATAAACTTCCTTAAATTCCTTTTCTGGATAGAGAAGAATTCAGAAAAATGTGATTAATTGACTAACATGTGTCCCTTCTTTCTCTCCTTTTCTTTTTCAGACTGATGATGCCATTTCTCTGCAGAGAAATGGTGGAATTGTTGGACAAGAGTGACAGCTTAGTCAACCACACCAGTTTATCAAACTATGCATTTCTGTATGGAATCTTTCCAGCAGCACCAGGCGTGGCTATCTTTGCATCTCAGTTTAACATGGAAGTAGAAATTGTAGGTTCTTAATGCTTTACAAGCCCAGCACTGACTTCGATTTTAATTTTACTGAGCAATAAAAAAAACCTTTCTATCACATTGACACAGCTGGTTTGCTTACACTCTCTAAAAATCACTATCTAAATTATATTTCACATTAATAATTAAACTGTACCAAGGCCTTTTCTGCTTTCTGTTGCATGTGTTCAGATTACACATTCTTAAAGTAAGTGCTGTTCCTAGAATCTACACTGAGAAGATGTGAAAACTGAAATTGTTTACATGTGGGATTTTTAGAAGTTCTCACCATTAACCTCACTCTGCTCCTGGTGAAGGCAAAGTGTCACTGTTGGCTTCAGTGGGAGCAGACAGGCTAATGCTGACCAGTTAAAATCTGATGACCTTTACTCCCTTTTGGTTAAATAATAAGATAAAAATTACATTCAGCTTTTGTTTCTTAGTTAAGGAACACTAGTGCAATTTACCTTCTGCTTGTAAGATACAAATACATTTTAAGCAGATAACTTGTTTTATAAAGTAAGACAGGCTCTTGCAGGCATTATGAACGCCCTTTTCTGCCACTAGAAAACTGCCAGCCAGACGCTATGGTGGGAAGTTCTGGCAGCCAATGCACATTTTGTTTACTTGTGGCTCCTATCCAGAGGTCCCCATCTGGATTATTAAAAATGCTGAGAGAATCTGGGAAAGAGCATGAACATGGTGCTGATGCTCCTTGAATCTGGGCATGTGGTGATGCTGGTAAGAGCATTTAGCATAGTTACAGAATCTAGTTCCATATGCCTAGATGTCTGTAACTATTTGGATTTTTCACTTCTTTCTGGTTAAAGGAATATTAAAATATTTCTCTTAATATTTAAAAATACAAGAAAAGTAAAAATAGATGATTGTAACCTTGAATTTTATGTCCAATGAGTATGGCAATATCTGCTTTTAAAACAGAGGGCTGTCATATGAGTAGAAGCTACAGTTTCACTGAATTCCAAGTGTGTGGAAACCCTGGGAAACCAAATTATAAGTAGCTTCAATACATCCATGGCTGCTGGTTCTCTTTGAGTTTGTGGGACAGCTCAGGCATTTTTTTCACAACAAAATATTACTCATTTATTTCAGATATAAATCTGTAGTTCAGAGGGAGGGGCTGCACTCTGTCATTCCAATCCTGCATTAAAATTACTGGAATGACTCTTACTGGCATGGGGAAGCACAGTTAATGTGTAAAAATTGGCAGAAGTGGGCCTCCAAATTGTAGTTATTTTAGAAAAGACTTGTTCTAAAACTTTCAACTGATTCTTAACTGTCTTCAAAAAATGCATGTTCCCTCTAGCTTATCACCTGATTTTTAATAGTCCTCTATCCATATGACCCAGTGACTACAGTCGAATTGCCTGTGGTATTTTAAATCAAAGTCAGTGCTGAAGTTGCTTTCCTAAAAATATTATTTAATGAGAGATCTGATATTTTTACCACTGTTGATTTCCATTTGCAGATTACCTCAGGAATGGTGATAAGCACTTTTGTGTCTGCTCCTATCATGTACGTTTCTGCTTGGCTGCTAACCATTCCATCTATGGATCCAAAGCCACTAGCATCAGCAATCCAGAACGTTAGCTTTGATATCAGCATTGTCAGCCTTGTCTCCTTGGTAGGTATTGGCTCCCATTGCAGTCAGGCAAAGGAAATATAAAACCACAGTAAATGATGGTAAGATAGTGGTTTATGCAGATAACAAGCCAGGAGATAGAAAGATAAAACTGATATACTTCCTCACTCCCATATCCTGTTTTGAAAGGCTGAAGGGTGAAAAGAGATAAAAGCTCATACTGGAATGGTTAAGGGTCAACTGTAAAGCTAATATGAAACTTAAGTATTTGTCAAGACAATTTTTGATGGTTAGGGCACCCAAAAAAGAGGCATGGGGAAGCCAGTGGTTGGTTCCCAGGTCTTAGCTCCAAACTTCCAGTGTGACCTTGGGTAGGTCATTTAGTTTCTTGCATTTGTAAAAATAGAAATCATATTACCTCCCAACTTCCCAAGGATTTTATGAGAGTAAATATATTGAAGAAGATGAGCTGCTTGGTCCTGTGATGGGGGAACATATAAGTGCTTAAGATTGGAGCCCACTGTGTATGTGGACTGACTGCCTCTGAAGTTTGGGTCAGTGAGGACATTTAATGTGAAAGTTGTTGTTTTTTTTGGGGTGGGGGGGGAGTTGTTGGGTTTTTTTGAAAATTAATGCCCTAGCAATATCCTCTAGTTTCCTAGTTCAGCTAGGAAAGCTGAACAAGACATCCCAGCATGAATCTTGTTGTGACACAGCTACCCAAGCTAGATTTTTTTCAAAAGATTTCAATTAAAACTTCTATTCTTAATTGTTCTGACAGTCTGATTCAGCGCAGTTATGAGCACAGTCCTGTCTAGCAGTGCAGTGCATTTTTTGAATCATCTCAGATTTACACTTGAACTAGAATATAGGGCCAAGAGGGGCCTGCGAGACATCAAGTTCAGTCACCTGCAAGGACATGAAAACCACTTATTCAAAGGATGCAGAAGACTATATTTTCCTGAGTCCTCTCATGCACCTCAACCACAGAGCACCATGGGGAAAATAGTCCTACAGCATGTTCCATGTAAAAAGCCAGAAAAGCCAGGGTTTTGTTCTGTCATTGCAATGGCAGAGAATTTTTTTGGTTAGTATATGCTCAGTTGATCCTAGGAAAAGAACCATGCTTGGTGCTGCAAAAGAAGACAAAAAAAATTCCATGGTCCTTGTCCATCTGACCTGACCCTTAATAAGAAGGCCATTACAAATCATGTGTATAGTTGAGTTCATAATAAACAAAATTGTCCTAATAGGCTCTCAGAGAGTTTGCTTCTGGACTTACAAGTGCCAAACCATGTTGTATTTTGTTGAGATATCAATATGTCAATATTGTTGACCTGAATCCTTGAGTATTTAAACAAAGACTTAAGAATTGTCAAAGCAACAGAATACAGAGTTGGTCATTGACTTTTTCATTAAGAATAAGGTAGCACAGCCACAAATAGAACTTGCCACTTGCCATCACCAGGTCTTGGTAGGGTTTAGATAAGGACTAAAAGGATAGAGGCTAAGCCAAACAAGCTAAAGAAAAGAAAACAGAAAAATAAGCCAAAGTGGCGGATTAGTACATTGCCAGCAAATTAAGTGGCTTTCTAGCCTTTTCTATGCTCTTAATCATGTGTGGCAAGTAGCTCAAAGCAAAAGAAATAGATGCTTTAACTTGCACTGTATTCACTATTTATGCAGCCTCACCTGGAGTGCTATGTTCACTTCAAAGCACTTAGAGCAGATTGAAGGGACTCCACAGCAGACCAACAGAAATGATTACAGGTTTAAGCGATATGAAAAATTGTAATAATTGGGTTTATTTCGTTTGGAGAAAAGAGAGCTGAGAAGTATTTGATTTAGTCTAAAAAACAACAAAGCTGTGATATAGAGGGTGCCCATCAGTTGTTCACAGGGGACAAGACAATGAGGAATGGCTTTAAATTGCAGTGAGGAAATTAGGAAGAATTTTCCAGCTATGAGGGTGGTAAAGTGCTGTAACTATAGAAATTGTGGAATTTCCAATATTTAAGTGCAGAATAGACAATACTTGTCTGGGGTGGTTTAGATAGGGTTGATCCTGCCTTGAGAAGGGCCTTGGACTAAGCATCTCCTGAGGTCCCATCCAGCCTTATTTTTCTATTTTTGTGCAACTCCCTTTCTCCAGACTCAATTCCCCATCCTCAAAGCATAAAATCACTCTGGCTATGGGAATGGCAGCCAGTGGTTTAGATCTGGCTGTTCCAAAATTACTATCCAGAAACATATTAAAAACTAAAGGTTTGTCTAGTATTTAATTTCGATCTTTATGTGCCTAGGTATTCATCTTAATTTTTAACTGTTAATTTGAATACTTCTGTTTTTTCCAGATATGGTCTCTAGCTGTCATTCTTTTAAGTAAGAAGTATAGACAGCTTCCTCATATGCTTACAACAAATTTACTTGTTGCTCAGGTTAGTATCATGTAGAATATATATATATTCTGTGCGTGCGTACACATGTTCTGGAGTACTGCATCCAGTTTTGGGTTCCACAATTCAAAAAGGATGTGGAGAAGCTTGAGAGAGTTCAGAGGAGAGCCACACACATGATCAGAGGTCAGGAAAACAGACCTTATGATGAGAGGCTGAGAGCCATGGGAGTCTTCAGCCTAGAAAAGCGTAGGCTCAGGAGTGATCTGGTGGCCACCTATAAGTTTATCAGGGATGCTCATCAAGATCTGGGGGAACGTCTGTTCGCCAGAGCGCCCCAGGGGATGACAAGATCAAACAGTCACAAACTCCGCCGCAGCCGATTCAGGCTGGACATAAGGAAGAACTTTTTTACTGTCCAAGCCCCCAAGGTTTGGAATAGACTGCCACCGGAGGTGACTCAAGCACCCACTTTGAACGCCTTCAAGACATATTTGGATGCTTATCTTGCTGGGATCCTATCTATGATCCCTGCTGACTTCCTGCCCATGGGGCAGGGGGCTGGACTCGATGATCCTCCGGGGTCCCTTCCAGCCCAAGTGTCTATGAAATCTATGAAATGTGTGTGTAAAACGCACACACTGTTTTACAACACTGCTTTTCACAAAGCTTTATAGATAGCCTTTGGAGGAAAGGGAAAAGATATAATGAATTGCTTCCATATTTTTTTTATATTATAGTGCCTCAAAGGGTATTTGGTAAGCTATGTAGTACTTGCTGTACCAGACAACCAATTCTGTATGATTCTATGGCATAAAATAATGAAGACTGCAATATTAAGTCTTTTTGAAAAATCTGTTTCAAGCAGAAACATAGGAAATTCAGAATCCAGGGTGACCCTTGTTTTCTTAATTATCTTTGTAATTCTAAATCTAATGGTAATCCTATAGTTTATAGTACTTCACATCCCCAAAGATCTCCAGATTCTTACCTTTCTTTATATATGTTGAGCAGCAGTGACATGAAGCCACTTTCTTCTGATTGCTGCCCATCTCTTGAAGACAGCTAGTGTGCAACATTGCTGTGGGGAGGAAATTTTGAACAGCTCTGAAGAAAAGGACTTTTCCCTTAGGAGAAGAGCCAAGGGAACTTTATATCCATATTCATCTTTCTTCAATTTCCTAAACCATTTCAGACAAAAAGTGCATGTGCTTCAAAAAAGCAGAACATAAAAATACCCTTTGAACAAGCTTCCAAAGGAACTCTTTGGAACCTTCTGAAATTAAGTTAATCTAGATCAGTGGTGCTCAGCCTCTTGACCCCAAAGGCCAGAGAAGGGGTATGGAACTGATCCGTGGGCCAGACTGGGCCCTGTCCAAGGATCAAGCACTGCACTCTCTGCCTGCCCCGCCATGCTGTGATCAGGCTCCATACTACCCTGCACACCCAATTCAGCATTCAGGGCCATGTTGTGTGGCCCATGGGGCTCTTCACTGTCTGGTAATTTGACAGCAGGGGAGCAGTGCCCCTGCCACCAAATTTTTGGATCCATAGGGAGCTCTCTAGGCCAGATGACATAACTCAGGAGACTGAATCTGGCTTGGTTGCAAGCGGTTGAACACCCGTGGTCTGGATCAGTGGTTCCCAGACTTCTTGAAAAGAGGTCCTGTGTCTACCCTCAGAATTTCTTATGTGCTGTCATGCACCTTTAACGTCAAACATGGAATTGAACAGGTGGTCAGTGTGCTTTTCATATCACTTCCCATGGCTTTGCAGGCCACTATATGGAAACCACTGATCTAGATTGTTTGCTGTCAAAATGGAAAACCTGTGAATTTAGATGCTTAGTGACATAGATTGAGTTTTATTCATTAAATATTATAAAATAGGTTATCTGAGCAGCAAAAGCGAATTATGTAGCTGTTCTACACTAGATATTTTTTGTAACATTTTGCCTTCAGTATTAAAATGATTGGAGCTTCTCTCTCCTTTTACAGTTTATTGCCTGTATTGGAATGGTGACATGGAATTTCATTATTAAAGAGAGAGACATCACTGTGCAGATCCTCATATTTAGCTTGCTGTATAGCTCTCTTTATAGTACCTACTTGTGGACAGGTAAGTTAGAATGTGACTAATATTTGATTATGCATAATACAGATGGGTACTAAAGCATGTAATTAATGTTCTGAAGTCATCTTTTCTTACATCCTATATTAATGATTTAGTCATGTCATAAATATTCCCAGTTCTACCCAGTAGTAGATAGATGCAAGGCTGAAGTGTCCATATTGTATGACTTGCAAAACCCCACTCTGGTAATTTTTAGCTCATTGATAGGCTAGAGAATGGAGACAGTGGGTTATTGCTGTTAGTGTATGCCTTGGTAAGTTAGGCCAGGCAGATGAGAAAGATGGAAAAAGGCTATCATGTTGGGCAGTAGGGAAACCAAATGAAAAGTGATGGAAGAAATGAGGCGGGAGGCCTGAGGAGATTAAGAGGAAGGTGACCTGATAACAAGAACAGGAATCTTAGTTACACCAGCTAGAAATAAAGGTACTCCATTACATTTGTTATGTGTTTCAATGTCCAACTCCTTTTTCTACTTGGAAATGTAGACCAGTCATCATTCACACACAATTGTAACATACCTTTTATGCAGATTGTAGAAATGTGTGCTGGTTAGGTTTCTACTGTAAACAGTGGTGCAAAGCCTAAATGACTACATAACAAGACTTACACTTTTCAAGCTTTTTGTGGTCTGTGATGAAATATGAATAAGCATAGAAGATTGCTTGTAAGAAGTGTAGCCATTCTTTAAAAGGACTTTCACTTCTTTTGCTACTTAATCATACATATATCTCATGCATATGTATGACTTGGTGCACTTGTATTATGTACCCACTCCTGTAGATTTGGGTTCCTGCACTGTCTTACGCAGAATGAATCAATTGCTAAATAGCTGGGATTGTTTGTATATAGGGTTTTGGCTTGGATCTATGGTGTCCCACCAAACAGTTTGTACATATACTAAATCATACATAAACTATTTAATCATACATACCAATTTTAAGTTGGCAAACTCTGCCCTGGCATATCCATATTTTGCAAGATATTTCCTAATGGGGGTAGCTGTTTGCTTAACACTTTTGAAAATCTGACCTCCTGTTTATACACCCAATTAGGGATTTCAGGTCCCAGTTTGGTTGCTCGTTTCTAAAAATTCTACCCACAATCACACTTTCTCATAAATTATGTAAGAATTTTTTCAGTATCCTTATAAACAAGCTTTTGTGCCTATAACATGCTTAAAACATCTCTTTAAACATTTCTTAATATTAAATGTGATGGAGTTTTTCATATTTCTAAAATACCTAGGTAACCTTTTAAAATTTTGTTAGAATAAAGCTAGAAAATCATTGTGGCTTATTTCTATGACTTAATATATTAATAATATTAATAATAATATATTTTGAGGATCTGGAAAGAAAAAACTATCCAGCTGCATCAAGTGTAGTTTAGATTCTGTAATGTTTGTATTATGTTGGATAATAACTAGCTACAGTAAAATCTCTGTTATCCAGCATCCTTGGGGTAAGGGGATTGCCAGTTGCATAAAAGCTCTGGTTATCTGAAATAGCCCAGCAGGGTTTTCAAATAACACAGTGTGGGGGGGGTGTGGTGGCGGCTGCATGCAGAGCGACGACAGCGCAGGCTGGTGGGTGCGAGCTTTCCCCTGCTCCCCTCCTTCCCCCCGTGTCTGACCGGCGGAGTGGGGAGGGGGTGTGGGAGTGGTGGCTGCACACAAAACGGCGACAATGCAGGGTGCTGGGTGGCAGTGGCAGTTGCTGCATGTGTCCTTTCCCCCACTCCTCCCCCACCCCACATTCAGTCGGCCGGCTGGAAACTCCAGTTAATGGAGTACTCTGGTTGGTTAAGTACTAGATAGCAGAGATTTTCATAAGGATCATAAGAAAGTCAGGCTGGAAGGGACTTCACAAGGTCATCAAGTCCAGCCTCCTGCTCAGGGCAGGATCACCCCTGACTAGACCATCTAGTCTAGTCTAGACCGTCACCATTGTACTGTACTCTGTTTTTGTTTAGGTCTCCTATCCTTCTCTTTATTCATGTTAAAGAAAAGAGAAGTGTTAAAAATCCCTGCTGGATACATCATCCTGACAGGATGGGGGTAAGTTTGTATGAGGATGTTTTTCCTAGAGAAAATGTGATCGTGCCACATAATTATTTTTGACGCTTTTTGTATTTTGATGTTTCAGCATCCCAACACTGCTAGTGGGTATCTTATTAATTCTTGGTGAACGTAACAATGATAGCATCGACTCAGCATTTTTTTATGGCAAATACCAGGTATGAATCTGTTCTGCTTCCACCTTTCCTGATACCTGTTTTGTCCAATACATTATAGAGAAAGTGTTTATATTCTTTGTTTGTTTCACACGTAATTTAATACCTTTCCTCCAAAGCATGTTTTGCATTTCTAACGATACCAGTTACTTAGGTTAAAAGAAGTGCGACCCAAGTTGGAGGTTGTGGTTATTAAAATATGTGTGTAACAAACCATTATGGAAGTGTGTTAGAAATAACGATCTTGACATTTTTAGTAACACTGACTAGAAACAAGAGGGGAAATAGACCTCTTGGGAGGAAAGAGCATGGGCTGAATAGCTTGGGAATAATAATAAAGCCCTTCCCTAGCTTAACAGTTTGAATCTGGCATAGTTTGGTAATTATCTAAAATTGTTACTATCTAATGGGTAAATAGTTGTCTTGGTCAAAATCCTAGTAGAAATGCAGTAATCTTATGTGGACATTTACGTGACAAGAACAAGGATACTAGCTAAAGTCATGTCAAAGAAGCCAAGAACTGAAAGCATCTGGAGTATAAACTATATTTTGCTGCTTGCATCTTTGGGGTAATATATACAGTGAAAGTATACCTTGGTGATGTATCTTTTCTATGCATAAAGAAAATTCCACAATACAGACCTGTCATCTGCACTGAAATAACTTTAAAATGGATGGATGGGTATTGGTGACAGATTTGTCAGAAGGAAATATTAATGGAACTCCCAGGTAGAGAGGAGTGGAAAATGGAGCCTGGCAGGTAAAGAAAGAGAATGCTGTTGTCCCTGGGATTAAGGTGTACTTGGACAGAACCTGAAAAGAGGAGGAATGGTCCTGGGGCAGAAGGAGAAGGTGTGAGATCTGGTACTGTGGAAAGAAGGTCCTGACAGAAACCAGGTCAAAGAAAAGCAGTTGTTCAAATTATCTGGATTTAAAAAAATCAGTGTGGCCAGGTCTTTGAAGTTCACCTCCTTAGCCATAAAACTTAAAGGTAGTTAACATGGAAATACATTTTGTCTACATTCAGATTTACTTTGGTGTAAAGGGTCCTAGATTCGAGAATATTACAGATATCAAATGTAGAATTTTAATGCTCTTTTGCTGTTTTTTTGTTATATTCAGGCATATCTCTTTGTCTCTCTTCTTCCTTTGACAGATAATTACTACAGCAGTGACTCTATTCATCAGCTTATTGATGTCAGGCATTTCCCTTATGTGTATGAATCGAAATAGACAGGAATCAAACTATGAAGTCTTGAACCCATATTCATCTAATAGCCAAATAGAAGAACCTGAAAGAGAAAGGAATGAAGAAAGCCAGGCATCAGTTGATGTCTCCCAGACTTTCACAGATACCTCTGCAGAAAGAGGTACAGGATAGAGGAGTTGGGGATAATCCAATTTAACTTATAGCTAAAAGAAAAGAAAAGAAAAATTGTCTTCATTAATGCTTAAAAGTGCTAAGCTGTTGGGATGGGTTAATATGTAAAGACCTAGAAAATTGTAATTGTATTTCTTTAATATATTTTTTAGGGGAGCTTTCTTCTTTATCATCATATATAATACTATGTGTATGTGTATTTAAAATGTATAATGGGATATATGCGATATCCACATCATTAATTGTATTTATCAGGTATTTTTTACTATTTATCTGCATCTGGCCATGTCTCTGAAGACAAACCAGACACCTACAACATGTTTACAAATTGCTTACTAGTTAAACCATTCCTTATTTTGCTTAATCGGGTTTACTTTTCTCTATCATTCATGATCTCCCCAATATAGTCTGCAGCTGACAGTGCTTATGTTGCTCCTGTAGTTGTAATGTGATGTTGAACAATTCTGTATATTAGGTATCTGAAGTTGTTCTGCTCTGAATTGGAGACTGGAAGAGGGTTCTTAGGTACTCTGGATTTGGGATGTATGCAGACACACAGTACATGTTGTTACTCTTCCATTTAAAGATACACAGATAATTTTCTCATCCATCACATCATCTGAAAGAGTCTATAACTGTTCCTATACTTTATATTTTAATAGGTTGCTGCTCATGCCAAACAGCGAATGGTGGATTACACTACTCCAGAGAATGTGAGCCAGTGTCAAAGGCTAATACTGATGGTAGTGAGGATCCTTCAACTGAGACGGGTACAATGATCATGTATTCTCACCTATTGTTCAAATGATTACACTAAGCTATTTAGTATTCCTGTGAGAGAAGTAATATTGAATTTGGGATTTCACTTTAGCAACTCTGACTGTCCTCTAACTGAAGGTAAAATTTAGATACCTGGCATCAGCTAACTTATTGTAATTTACTGCCTTCAACTATTATCAGTAGTTTCTGATGTGCAGGACCAGCAATTTGGAGCAGCCAGTTTAGAAATCTGCAAAAAATGCAACTATTTGAGAGGATTTGGCTTCTATTTTTTCAATGCAAGTCCTCTCCAGTGCTGTGTGGCTGTCACAATGAGCTCTATCAGCTCAGGAGTTCTGGAGGCCTAACCTCAAACCCACAGAAGTCTCTCTCTCTCTCTCTCTCTCTCTCTCTCGATTTCAAAGCGTTTGGGGTTAGGCCCTGTGGATATAATTTTGCCATTTCATGTGATATTCTCCAGATATTCAGACTTCATTTTGACTCCACCATCTTGCAGTTTACCTTACCTATCTTTTTTTTTGGTTCCCAGAGGATTTCTGACATGTAGTGAGAGCCCTTGGTTTAGGCTGCTTCCCTTTCAGTAACTTGTAGTCAAAGTTATTCACACTGTAGCCTTCCTTTGTAGTGTGTTTTTGCAAGCAAATTCCCTTCCATACTGTTGGCACAAAAAACACATTTTCAACACGTCTGACTCTGAAGTGAAAAATATTTCTCACAGTAACACCTCAGTAAATACTGATTCTACACAAGATTACATCATTATTGGTAAAAAAAAAAAAAAAAAAAAAAAAAAAAAAAAAAAAAAAAAAAAAGCACTGCCTTTTTAACTTCAAGACCTTAATTTGCTCAAACTTTTGACAAATAGTAGGCATAGCCATGCAGGGAGTGCTCAGCTGAAATTGGGATTAGAATGAAAGCAGTTAGGTTCAGCCTCAGTGATTGCCAGCACTGCTAGTACTCGTGTTGCAGCTGCTATGAAAGATGCCCATTTTCACCTGTGTAATACAACTGCATAATGCAGTTATTTTACTGCCATCTAGTGGCAGATACTGAAAGCTCCCAAAGTTCTGTTTGGAAAAAAAAATCCATTCTGTAAGCTTATTTTTAGCTGTTTAGTTAGTTGGGATTATTGTAGTATATTTCAGTATGCGTTTTAAGAAATCTAATGAAATGTATCCAGCTGCATTAAGTTTGGATATTGACAGAAATAGGAGGAGATTCACTGGTTGATGAAGAGCAAAAGAAAACTAAGCTTTACAGCAAAAATTAAAAGTGATAGTATTTATTGAAATATTTCTTTCACTGTGTAATAAATTCTGCAAAACTTACTACTTTAGTGTTAGGGGTGATGTCTCTGTGCTGAGTACTACTGAGCACTGTGTGTAGAGCTGTAATTCAGGAAGCATACTTTTATTTTATAAGATTTCCTTGATTAACTACAGAGTGAGCATATGTGCCAAAAATCAGCCATCATGCAGGTTGGTTGGGACGGGTGTCTGAGGAATTCATTACCATTTAATATACACACCCTTAGAATAGGAGTTTAAAGCTAATATATGTGTGGCTTATACAAAATAAATAATGTGTTTTCTCATGAATTTGGAGGCAGGAGCTGTTCGAGATTAGTGTGTGGTGGGGTTGGGGAGTGGTATTTTAGCAGCGGGTAAATCACCAGCCTACTAAATATGCAGAGAGGAAAGACTGTCATTAGATTACATAGGCCACAAATATGGTAAAAATTCTGTTTGAAAGTTCTGCTTATTCACATCCTTTTCCCATCTCTCACCAAACTTTCTCCTCCATATTTTTTTAAAGAGCTGCTATAAGATAACTGGGTTCTTGGCTGAGTGTTATACAAAAGACCTAATTATGAATTCTGACTGACTTCTTTGCAGATCAATGTGCAAACCAGTGTAGTGCTCAAACCTGCATATTGGCACAGGAAGAACAACTTCTACAGACTGGAGACAAACAGCTGGCTAGACATGTGCTGCTGTGTTTACTTCTCATCGTGGGCCTATTGGCTGTAAATTTCCTCTTTTTGACACTGATTAAATAATTGTTTTGGGATAATTTACTGGGAAAGCTACATAAACAGCCCAAATTCTGTTTTTTGTTTTTGTGTTTAAGAAAAAGAACTTCTGGGTCTGTGTTTACTTAATCTGTGACATCACATTAAATGAATGGATGAGTCCAGGTCACTTTTAGCAAATGCTCTGGGGAGGAGCACAATATAAGGATGTGCATAGAACGAACTATGTGAATATAATTGTTTTATAGATATAGACACACACATACACATAGAGTAAAAGCTTTGTTATCTAGCATGAGTGGGGTAAGGGGGGTGCCAGTTATCTTAAAATTCCAGTTATGTGAGAGTTATACCGGCCCCTGCCACACATAGATCCCTTCCCCCCCTGCCCCTTCTTCCACACCTGCATGCTCAGCTCCCCCTCCCTCTTCCCCCCTCAAATTTTCTCCCCCATCTATGTGGATATCAACTAGAATGGCTCCCAGCAGTATTCCAGTTAGTAAAATGCCAGTTAACACAGCTTTTACTCTGTGTGTGTGTGTGTGTGTGTGTGATTTTATGTTAAATGATGTAAGTTCCTGATCACACAGATAAAATAATAAATTGGACACTTCAGTGGTGTCTCATCAGCAGAATTATTTGTTGTCTTCCAAATAAAAAGCTGAATGGTTATCTTCTGCTATAAAATATGTAGGTGCAAGTGAGTCAGGCTTTACAGATCTGCCTTGTAGATTCTTTGTTATTGATGCAAGGCAGGAGAAGGTATACCCAGTTTGATTATTAGAATACAAGTTATGTATGTAAGGCTAACTATAAGAAAAATGCATCATTTTTGCTAGTAAATGGAGCACAGAAATGGAGAGGCAGCAAACATCAACACCATGGTGTTCCATGGTGTTGTTATTAACATTTTTCAGCATTAATTAAATTATTGATCTTCTAAATATTAATTATCCATTGTTGTATACAAATATAAATACATTTGTGATTATTTTTTAATATGGGATGGCCTGGCTTTTGGCCCCCATTTTGAGTTTTTACTAACAGGTACTCAAATTCACAATTTTTTTTAAAGTTGTAGAAACTTGAAAAAAAATCCCATTTTAAAAAGAAACCCCATTACTATTAAAGTAATTACCTTTGGTTATCAAGTTTGTGTAACACTGAAGCACATACCAGCAACATTATCTCTCTTAAAGCTTCAATAAAATTAAGAGACTGTCAAAACATTGGTGCTCAGTTCAGGAGGAATATTTGCTTTCTCAGGTTTGGAACAGTCAGTGATTAACTAAGCATGCATAAAGCATAATCTACAAAAACAAGCTCCTTTTTTTTTAAGGCCATAAAGGGTGCAAAGCCATCCACATTAGTGTTCTGCTTACTTACCTTTAAAATTTACTGGAACATATGGCCCCTTTTACAGCTACAGAAAGAATACATTTTGTTACTTATTTTTTCAGTTTTTGCATTTGTTGGAGATGACTTGTTGCATTAAAGACAATAAAATTGTTTGGGGTTTTTTAGTTTATCCATTTTATAATGCTCAGTTTATAATTTTTTTAACAGAATCTGTCCAGCTGCTTCTGGTGGTTGTTCAACCAAGAGCCAGGAAGGCTGTATGTGGAATTGCAGTTCTTTTGCGCAGTATTTAATTTTGGACAGGTACTTATCAGTCTCTGCTTTTGAAATTGCTTGTTTCTGGGTATCTGCTAAAGGTAAGAAGCTGCCATTTTTGTACATCTTGGTAGCTGGCAACACTTCTATACTGATTGAAGTCTCCAGTGTGCTGAAATTCCCAATGTTTTGCTGTTATTTTGTTTTACTTTCATTGTTTTGGCTTCTGGTTTCCTGAGTTCTCAGTTTTACATAATGTTTATGTACATGCTGGGGGAGAATTGTCAAAGACACAAATGGCAGCTGACCACCCAGTGCCTAATGCAAGGTCCTGTCTACAAGGAAAAGATGCACCATTAAAACGCAAGGTGTGAATTTATACCAGTCTAATTACCCTAGTGTAAAAGGCTGAATGTATATTCTTAGTGCAGTGTAACTGTGGCTTATTTCGGGTTAGCTTAAGATGATGAGGAACAAATTTAATTAAACTAAAATAAGCCACTGTCAGGGTAGAAACAGACATTGCCTAACATTGCATTTGTAATACCATAGAAATTTTTATGGCCGCACAAATGGTGAGCAAACAGGTGTCCCTACTCTGTTGCACCATGTCAATCCTGTGTACCCAGGGAATTACCACCCATTATTCAGCCCCTTGAGTCTCCAGAGCACCTGCCTGGCTTTTCCTGCTTAGAGACATGCCCTGGGGAATTTTGGGGCACCTTTCTGTTAGTGGAGAAAGGTGGGGTTCTCCACTTATGAAGACCCATCCTGGTCTCTGTAAGTGGGGAAAGCCTGTGCTGGTCCCAGTGTGAAGGGAACCCACAGAATCCCTGGCACCCCATACCTCCATGCCAGGGCTTGCACTGACCTGTGCTTCACACAGAGGCATGGGTCAGTGTGGGTCCCAGCAAGGAGATGTGGGGAGGCATAGGACCTGTGTGAAGCACGGGTCACTGCAGGGCATGGGGCACTAAGAATTCCCCAGGTTCTGCATTGCCATGTGCCTTCTTGTTGGGACCCACATTACCCCATACTTCTAGGGCTGGGTGAAACGGTTGAGTTTTGATTTGGTTTCGGATTTGGCCGTTTCAGAGGACAGTGATTTGTTTCGGTGTTTCGGATCACTATCCGGTTTCATTTTGGCTGAATCTCTTCTGAATCGGTTTTGAACGGGCTGCAAGCTTCACACAGCCCTACCCGGCTGGGTGGGGCTTGGGGCCAGAGGCTGTAGGGCCCCCGTGGGGAGCAGGATGAAGCCATGGGTGGCTCACCTGGGGAAGAGAGGGCCGCTGCCCTCTGTGCAGGCAAAGAGACCCCCGCGTGAATCTGATTCCTGTCACGCCGGGTCGCGGGGCAGGGAAGCAGCACAGAGCAGCAAGCAAGCCTGCTGGTCCCTGCCACACAACTTGGCTCCACAGGGAGCAGAGATCCACACTGGGGACTCCTCACTGCCACTGCCCGCCCTGTGCTGCCCCAGTGATGTGGGGTGGGCAGCAGCATCAAGGAAAGCCTAGCCTGGATCTCTGCTCCCTGCGGAGCCAGGTCACACAGCAGGGATTCACCAGCCCCCAGTTTGATTCCCCAGCTCTCTGATCATTTCCCCAGCTCTTCCTGGAGGGTGTGGGCCCCTGGATCTGCATGTCAGGTTTCAGCAGACTGCCACTGCAGGCTGGGGTCAGTGGCCACACCACAGTCTTCCCAGCACTTGGCACAGGCTGCGCCAAACATCTGCCACTGGTTCCAGTCTGCAGCGGCAGCCTGCTGAAACACTGCACGCAGCCCCCCTGGGAAGAGCTGGGGGAAGCGATCAGAGAGCTGGGGAATGGAACCGGGAGCTAGATGTCAATATTAGAGCAGTCCTTACCCTTCCTCTTCTTAATTTTTGTTTCCCTGCAAGCCCAGCTCCAAAATTCTCCGAAACATTTCCAAAACATTTCGGAGCCTTCTGACTAGTTTTGGAGCTGTTTCGGAGCTTTCCATTTCAATTCAGATTTGGTGTTTTGGGTGCTGAAATAGGCCAAAACACATGTGAAACGAAACGGCTGCTGAAATTTCGCACAGCCCTACCTATGTCATGCAGAGGTATGGGTCCTGGCATGGAGGCTTAGGGTGCCGGGGATTCCCCAGGTCCCACACCAACTCATGCCTCGGCACAGAGCATGGGGCGATGTGGGTCCTGGCAAGAAGGTGCGGGACAACAAGGAATGTGGGGTATTCCTGGGCAAGGGGAACACATTGCTTGTTGTCCCATACTGGGCCACTGCCCAGTGCAGGACAATGGGTGACGTTTGTTTTGCCCAATGCAGTGGATTAGCTATGGCAAGATGAGTTCCACCCTGGCTTGATCTGTTTCATTTGGAGATGTTTGTTTTTACGCTCAGGGTCTGGATGCAGATATGGTTGGAGCCGTTACATAATGATAATGTTTCAAAAGGGTGGCAGCTGTTACCTTCTAATTACCTTGTAATGTGTGTACAAGCCAGGAACATACTAATGTAGCCAGTCACTTCAGCTTTAACACTGCTTCATCCAGGATTAGAGTTGGAGCAGTTTTGCTATATTTGTAGTGTCCCAACTTGTCCATATGTAACAAGTAGAATGTACCAGCTTTTGAAATGTCCCCCTTTTTGAAGTGCTCCAGCTGTACCTGTCTGTGCCCTCAGATAAGTATCCACTGAGCCTCTTGAACCTATATAACTACATTGATTGAAAGGACAGCCCAAAGTTATAGCAGTGTAACAAGCATCCATACCAGAAGACAGGCGGGTGATCCAGGCTGACCTGGACAGGCTCAGCAAGTGGGCGGATGAGAATCTGATGGTGTTCAACGCCGATAAATGCAAGGTTCTCCACCTTGGGAAGAAAAACCCACAGCATCCTTATAGGCTCGGCAGTGCTATGTTGGCTAGCACTATGGAAGAAAGAGACTTGGGGGTCATCATTGACCACAAGATGAACATGAGCCTGCAGTACGATGCTGCGGCTAGTAAAGCAACCAAAACGCTGGCTTGCATCCATAGATGCTTCTCAAGCAAATCCCGGGATGTCATTCTCCCCTTGTACTCGGCCTTGGTGAGGCCACAGCTGGAGTACTGTGTCCAGTTTTGGGCTCCACAATTCAAAAAGGATGTGGAGAAGCTTGAGTCCAGAGAAGAGCCACACGCATGATCAGAGGTCAGGGAAGCAGACCCTACGATGACAGGCTGAGAGCCCTGGGGCTCTTTAGCCTGGAAAAGCGCAGGCTCAGGGGTGATCTGATGGCCACCTACAAGTTTATCAGGGGTGACCACCAGCATCTGGGGGAACGTTTGTTCACCAGAGCACCTCAAGGGATGACGAGGTCGAATGGTCATAAACTACTACAAGACAAGGAAGAATTTCTTTACTGTCCGAGCCCCCAAGGTCTGGAACAGCCTGCCACCGGAGGTGGTTCAAGCGCCTTCATTGAACACCTTCAGGACGAAACTGGATGCTTATCTTGCTGGGATCCTATGACCCCAGCTGACTTCCTGCCCTTTGGGCAGGGGGCTGGACTCGATGATCTTCCGAGGTCCCCTCCAGCCCTAATGTCTATGAAATCTATGTCTATGAAGCCCTCAGGCTTTTGCGGCTTTGAGGTCTCTCTCTTACTCTTTTCTAGTAGCTGTCATTTGGCTAAAATGGCAAGAACTGATTTAGGAGTATTTTCCTCCTGTGCTCACCAGATGCTGTGGTGAAAACATTGATGGAATTATATGAAATGCTCTTGGAGCCAAAATGGAAGGTAATCCCACCTAGTGCTAGTGCCTCCTAGGAGCTGCAAAATGTCCTCAGCTCTCCATGATGTCAGTTAACATTTGACACTGATAACAGCTGATGGCAGATGATGCTTCCCGGAAGGAGCTAGCAGATTGCAGATCAGAACCATAATTTGCTTGCAAACGCTGGTTTAAATGTGTCGGATTTCATATTGTTGCCCTGCTTTGATAAGCTGTTTAAAATGTATAATGAAAATACCATTATATTAAATATCTTCAGTATTATTTTACTAACGTATAAATTGAAGAAGTTACATTTCAAGAAAAAAATCCTTTCCAGCCTGCATTGATCATTTTAATGTCATAAGTTAGTTGCTTCATTATCTGAGAAGAGATTCTGATGTTACTTGTGTTGGACTTATGTGGAGAAGCCTGATAAGAGGGTCATATCTGCGTGTATATACATAGATAGATCTCTTGGTTATCTACAGTGATAGGGGAAAAATGCTGGCAGTTTACATGACTTTTGGATGGAGATCTGATCAAATGAGATGCATGTCAAGTTTGCTAGAAACAGCTGGTGATTTTTTTTTTTAAACAAATCACTCATCCTTGGCTTCTATAGCATGGTATTTTCTGCTCTGCAGGTTATTTATATAATGCCTCCTGTTTGCAAGTAAGTTGCTATCTGCTTATTGTTCCCATTATTTTAACTGGTCCTTGAATGCAGACTCTGGAAGGATTTTGCTGTGTTTTGTAGCATCATGTGAGATACTTATCTTAATCAGTAAATTTACCAACTCTTTGAGAGGCTCTTGGACAGCTTCTTATGTATGTACCTGTCTGTCTGTTTTAGGCTTTTGGTTCTAGGTTTATCATGCTGACGTTTCTGTGTGTGTGTGGTTTTTTTTTCAGGGCTTCATTTCATTTGGTATCTTTGGTTTAGATAAACATCTAATCATTCTGCCATTCAAAAGAAGGTAAACTGAATCTTTAAACATTTATCTAAGCAGAGTAAATGCAAAAGACAGTTATAAAATGTTATTGGTTTTCTAAAATCTCAACCTCTATTTCAGCTTTTGCTCCACACTTCCTCTCCTCCCTTTTTGTATTAGGCTAATTCAGTGCACAAAGGCTGCTTGCAGACATTTAAAAACAAGTAAATAAACCAGCGCTTTACTTTAAACTTAGTGTTCCTGTGCTGAGCCTTGTGCATGCCCAGAAGAAGCAGTGAATTACTTCAACCTGGCTCTGCAGTTTCTGTAAAGATTGGGTGCTTTAGTGTCTCTCTCACCTCCTCTGACCCTCACTGCCACACATTTGCATTTTTGCTGACCTGCATTCAGCATGAGATACTGCCTTCTACCTCATCCAGGAAGAGCACAAAACAACTTCAGACTCTCCCTCTGTCTAAAGAAGGGTGTTTGTACCCAAAAGCTTGCAAAGTAGAATTTTTCCAACTATTTTAGTTGGTCTGATAAAAGATACCAGATTTACCCAAATAATCTTGTCTGCCTAGTGCCTTAGTGAAGCTTTTTGACGGTTTTATCTAAAAGCTGATTGACTCAGCTTTAGCTAAAAACGCCAAAAAGCCCTGCTGAAGTGCCCTATCTCTACAGATGCTTCAGAGCCAGGTTGATATAACATGCTGATGCTTCTGGTAAAATGCATTTTTTTTAACATGTGCAAGCAGCCATAGTGAACTACAGTTTTCTGGTCCTGCCCTAATGTCACTGCCACTGGCTACTGGTTAATTGCAGTCTCAAGACACCAGTGTAGTCCCTGACTGGAACCGATAATCAGCTGATTGTCAACCCCAGCACTGACCTGCTACGTTCAGTTTAAGGCACCATACCTTGGCCGTAAAAATATTTGTTGTTATATGTAGAACATTTTATGGCTGGTTTTCCAGGTTATAGTGTCTTAAATTGGGTGCGCATGTAGTCTCCTTGCCATTTATGCCATGATTGATATGTTACTCACAGCATAAATGTAACGTGTAGAGGGGGCCGCAGAGATAACAATTTTATGCACAGTACTGATGACAGAAATAGCTTAGAGAAAGTTTGTCTGAGTTCTACATTTTTTTATGTTTTCTTTTTAAAGTACCTTTTTTTTTTTTTAACTTTTTTTTTTAATTACTTTTCAGATTTGAATTCCTCTGGGGTGGTAGAACAACAGCAGAACATACAGATTCCTCTGTTCCTGAGGAAATCAGAATGACATGCCAACAGTTTGTTCGCTATCATAGAGATCACTGTGTCAGGAGCATTGTCAAAGACAGAAGGTGAGTCTAATCCTGTGGAGAAGTTTGTGTAAACTGCATTAGAATGTTCAGAGACCATAGTATAGCAGTAATAATGCAGCATTTCCCTGAAAGGATACATCAGTTTGAAGACTGAGAATGTAATTTTAGGCAAGTGTTTCATACCTGGATTTTATATAAGTAGCCATATTGTTACATTTAGGTAGAATTACCTGAAAATTGGACCCAACAAATACTACACCGAAGAGCCTTGTTCTGCCAGACTTCAAAGAATGTTGAGTTTAGAAGCAGTATTGTGTGTGTTAAATATAGATCTTCTTTTCTAGTTCTGTCCTGCTTTTGGTTTTGTTTTCTAAAAGGTGGTTTTATTACTAGATTGTCTTCTTCATTTGGGAACTTCTAAGGCTATAGCTGTTCTGGAAGAGCCCTCTAGTGGGGATGCAGCATATGGTGGCAAAAATACAAGCTAAGCTAAATGAGCTGATATCAAGGTTTTTACTCATTTAACTACACTGGTCAGGGGATGTCATATTTCCTCATTTCTAGCCAGTGTGCCTGTGCTTGCAAAACTTTGCAGCATAGACCAAACCTCAGAGTATTTGCAGGGGGCAAAAGCTTTTGAGTCTAATCCCAAAAGCCTATGCTCCTGAGTGTGTACTTTTTCAGGTGTTAAGGCAGTGGTTTTCAACCTTGTTATACTCCAAGCACCCCTTGGAAAATGCCAGCTTTTAGCTTCCACTCCCTTTTTTATTATGGAGGAAGAGTAGAGCAGTGGCTGTCGACCTTTTTAGAGTCAGGGCATCCCTCCACAACTGGTTTGAATTTGGTAGCACACTTGGTTCAGAACCACTATTGTATTACCTCCACCTCTCTCAGTGGTCCTCAACCAGGGTGCTGCTGCAACACTCCAGCCTGTATCAGGGTTTTTTGATAAACCTAAAGTAGGCAGGAGATGTAACTAATGACTTTCATGTCTTAAGCAAAACTCCCCTGTGCCCCTGGGGAGAAAAGGAGGGTGGTCTTACCTGCCCTGGGTGTCCCCACACCTGGCTTCTACGACCACATGGTGCACAGGGCTGCTCCAGTCCAACTTGGCTCCTGCGGCTGGGTGTCTCACAGGGCTGCTGCTTCCCAACCTGGCTCCTCTGGCTAGGCAGCACAAGGGTCTGCAGCTGGAGCATGTGCTCTTGTTATAGTCCCTTCCTGGCCCAACCCCACATGCTGCTCCCAGGAACAGAGGGGTAGAGGACAGTCCCACCTGCCTGACACTCCTCTGTTTCCAGGAGTGTGTGGGCTCAGACCAGGAAGGGCTGCAGGAAGAGTGCATGTGCCAGCTGTAGCCGTGTCACGATCTGCCTCTGCAGGAGGCAGACAGGGCAGTTCAACATGGCTGAGGTGGCACCAGTGCCACAGCATCTCTGTTGAGAGCCTCTGCACTAGAGCAGTTGTTCTTTTGCAAAGAACTTGGAGCACAGCAGGTCAGACATGTTTTTGACACTACGATTTCCTCTGTGAAATCCCTGGGTTTACCTTGTGACTCATGTAGGTGTTTGCATACCTAATAATGCTAATATTGTGCAGCACCCTTAAAAGGAATCTCACCGTGGTGAGGACTTTTTCTTTGCCAGTTACAAGTTCGCACATTTGTGTTGCTTAGTCTGTGACATCTCTCAGAGCTTTCAGAAATACATTATGATGCCCCAAATTGAGGATTATGGTTTCCAGTGTTGAGGCGGGAGAGAGTTAGGATGGAATTGGAGGAAAAGCAGCAAGAAAAAAATCTGTTCTATATAATATCCATTGTATTGTCACAAATAAAGAATGGTTCTAATTAAGATGCTTCTGGATTTTCCTGTGACGTATAAGCAACTTGTAAGGAAGGGGAAGGAAGGCAGTCTGTTGAGCCTATTTCATCTACACAGAGGCAAAATATGGCTCACCAGGAAATAGTTTTATAAAGTAGATGAGGTATGCGTTATAACTACCCGTTAAGATAAACTTTTTATCCGTCTCGTTATTGAAAATTGTTGTTTCTTTAGTTTTTGTTTCAGTCATCTGTCAACTAATTGGATTTGACAATAGTTCAGTTTAAGAACATTTTCTCTCCAAACAAAAGTGCAGCTGGACAGACAGTTTAAATGATGGAACAGATTACTACAGAACAGAGAGAAATGTAATATACATTTTTTGGTTTTTAATTTCTATTTTTGGAATCAAATATTTGGGTTTTTATTTTATTTTGTATTTGGATATTACACATTGTCAAGCAGTGTTTCCAACCTTTTTCCCATTTGTGAGAAAATAATGTGCATCCTTTTATTGCACCTCTGTATATCCACTCATTTAATTTCTCACTCATTTCTCTTTGATTTAAAGATACTTTTTTCTGTGATACTATGTTTGTAATATATTTCTTCTTTTGTTGCTCCACTACTAGGTGCTAACAACCTTACCTTGTTTTCACTATTTGTTTCTAATTAAAATATAAAAATGTTCCTTGGCTGTTGCTGTCTCGTATAGCTGTTAATTATCTTTGTTTGCTCAAACTTCAGAAACCCTGCACTTGGGTTCCATAGAACAGATTTTAGATAACCAGAAACATTCATTGCTAAAGGTAAATTTCTGAATAATACTTTTTAAAGTACTAGCTAGAAGTCAGTAGTATTGCCTCATTAGCATGATGGAAATTAACCCAGTCTTGTCCTAAATGTTACGTTATTCTTAGTAGTTCTCCTCTGGCAAATACTTAGCTGAATAAGTCAGTTAAGTTACTTACTTACAATATATAGAAAGTCCATCCATGACCACACACAGGGAAAGAAAAGTTTTATAGATGGGCATTAAATTGTAGCCAAATAGCTATTGCTACTGGCACACTATATGTAATTAAATCAGATATTTTGTTACAGAAGTGGTCATGCTAATGAATACATTTGAAGTAAGTATCCAATAAATATTATTAGTGTGTTTGTGTGGTTTCTTAAAATTGCTCTTTAAGTTAAGCTTATTCTCACAGGCATAACAACTTTGCATGCATTTTGCTTTTTTACTGAGGTTTTTTTATAGGATAAGGTACTGAAAATTGGCCATAGTATACCCATTAGTATACAAAACTTGCAGGTTCCCTTCTCACATACTTTTAACTATCATGCTGTCTTTCCTTGTTTCCCCCTATTTTCCTTGCTTTCCCCCACTGTGCAGTGGTGATACCAGATTTACAGAACATATGGGTGAATCCTTCCTTTGACATACAGGTGTGGTGCAAAGATCTCAACTGGTATCTTCTTTGGCTGTGACCTGGTGAACTGGCTTATCCAAGTTGGCCTGGCCTCTGACCGTGGTGAAGCTGTGATGTACGGAGACAGACTGGTGAAAGGAGGAGTTGTCCAGCATATTACCAGCGAATTTGAATTTCGGGATGAGTACTTGTACTATCGCTTTGTTCGTAAGAGGTCTGCTGTGAATGAGAGGTACTAACCTGGGCAAGTACTCAAAAGAGAATCAAGAGCAAGCAAGTTCATCTCCCCTGCTCTCACTACTGACACTTGATGCATTCTGTTTCTTCTGATTCCTGCAGAATTCTGTTTCTCACTTGTAATGCATAAGAAATGCTGGTTCTGCCTGTCTCTCACTCCCAAAAAACTATAGCTAATGACCTGCTTTGAATGCTCACTCACGCCAACATCTATGTTAAATAACGTAACTTAAACCAGTAGAAGATACTTGTCATCAGCTATTTTTCCAGTTTGAACAAAACAAACAGGAGTTAAAAGATTCCTCCCCTCATTATATCCAAGAACAATATCAGTGAAACAGCTGATAGCTGCCAGTGCCATATAGAAAATGTATGCATTCTAGTGGGATTATATTCTGTATTTTACCATGTTTTATGCATTTACTCTGGTGAGTCTTGACCGTTAGTTAAGATAGTTTCAATGAGTTTCTCCATTGATTTAATGGAGCCAGTCTTTCCTTCTACTGCCCTTCCACCATCTTCCTCTTCTTATCACTTTGTACACTTGCATAAAAATTAGGAACTTTTGCTCAACTGTTTATTTATTAGCCTAGGTATTTTATTCCTCCCATAAATATGGAATCCTTTGCTTTTAATGACATAATTGCTGTGAATATGATTTATGTCAAAGGATTAGGAGCAAGTAATTAGCAGCTGAACAAATAACAACAAAGATCCTGTTTTTATACAAATTAATCAAGTCTGAAAGAGACAAAACATGTCTTGCAGAAACAAAAAAAGATGGAACTAATTCTAAACAATTTGTTATCCAGGGTGTTTTTTCCATTTGATGCATGTAACTCTGTAAAAAGAGAATGATTAGCAGATTATTCATTCCTTCTGAGTATCAAGTCTTTCATTTTCAAAATCTGGAGGTAGTAAGCTACTTTGGAGAGTTGAAGCTTTGGGTATTTATGCAAATCAGGTCCAGAACATTTAACAAAGTATAAAAACTTTTAAACTAGATGCTCTGACTTTTAAATTTATCTAAAGAAAACTTATGGAATTTCTGAACATGATTTTAGAATTTCTAAGGATTTAAAAAAATAATATTCACTTTCTTGCCAAACATTTCTTTCATGGATATAAGGTAATCAAATTCTTCTAAGACTCGGATATCTCCCTAAAAATTTCAAATAGTGCTCTGCGTTGTTTGTATCTTTTCGATATACAAAATGGAGTTTGAGAATCCATATTATCTGAAATATTTTGAAATGGCTAAAATAGAATTGATGTACGGAATAACTACTGCCCTTTTAAAACTGCCAGACCAATACTAAATTATTTCCACTAGACTTTTAATCAACATTGTAACTGGGGGGGACCCACAAAATAACCTTTTACTTAAGTAGAGTAGCCAAGTATGAAAATTTCCCTTCAAATCTTTTTTTTTTAAGGAATTTTTTCTTTGACATGAGAAACCAAATCCTTTTGCTGACAAACATGTAGTCTTTCTTGCACATCAATCTGCAGCATGCATAGATGCAAACAGTGTACTGCTGTGTGCTGTACAAACTGGCGTATTTTACCTTTTTTGATAACCAAACAACCTGACGTTTATAGTAATGTGGCTTAGTGTATGCCACAGATAAAATGGATGCTTTACTCTTGTGACATTACAACAGCTGAAAACAGATGTGTTAAACTATTTCGGAAGAAATTTGGAATATATATGCATATATACACACACACTATATATATGGAAGCAGTGGTTATAACTGGCTTCTAAATGTTGCAGATGCTCAATAAATCTGGAGTTGTTTTATCTGGTAGTTCTGAATATTTTGTTGTAAAATGTGATGGGATACCCCTGTAAGGTAAACACTGCATGAACTATTTCTGTCCTTTTGAGGGTCCTCTTATACTAGTGATTTGGCAATCCCAGTTTTTGCCCTTTGTTTTCAAAATGGATTTTATCAGTGCATCTTTTTAATTGGCTGGAGGACCTACTGTGAATTGATCTCTTTCAAATGGAGAATAACTGACACCAGCTATGAAATATTTTGGGACTAAGCTCCTTTTGACTGGTTTTCTGCATTTGTTAAATAATCCACTTGATGACTTACGGCTAGTTTCTTGGAAGTGTGTTGTTAACCAAGCAGTCATCTTTTCTCTGCTTTTCCTTATCTAAAATGGTCCTGCTTTTTCCCCTTTTTATGATGCATCCAGTCTACCCCAGGTTTACATGCAAAATAATCAATCTCTGAGGGAAAAATTCCAAAACTCTAAGGAAAAAGCTCCTTATCACGTTGTTCTCTTTAATTGAAGTGGAAATCATCATCTTATTAATAACTGAGTTACAATATTGTGACCGTTGATACTATACCATCATCTAATTACATAGTCTGCAATAGTTAATTAATTGATTTAATGAAACCGTAAATTAAATTCAAGATACTTATTTTATTTTTGAGCACACTCGGCACCACTAGAAAATGAGCAGTAGATTTTAGACAGTGTTCGAAAGCTGGTAAGCCCCCATGACAGGAAGGCAGGTACTTGCTTCCCTGTGGTGTGGAAGCCTTTAAAGTAGCCTGAGTGCCCACTTCCCATTCATTCAGATGTTTGGGGACTTTTGTTGTTAAAGAGCTGAAAGGATGTATTAGGCTCTTCTCTGTTTCAGGTTGATTAGCTTGGAATGACAGGACTAATTTATAAACTGGAACCTATATGTCCAGAATACACTTCCACCAATTCAGTTGCTCTGTCCTGTGAAGCACTGAGGTTTAACCTTTTTTTCCTGTAACTTATTGAAGAAACCATGGAAGAAACGTTTAATTCGCACGTGCTTTCACAACAGTAGAACACATTAGGTAATGAGTTCCGGTGACCTATTTAAAGTCTCTCTCAACTGCCTGGTGTTCCTAACCCAAATGTGTGTTAAGGTTGCCTCCTAGAGGTCACTTAAACTTGCTTACCAATTTCTTTTAGTTCTTTCCTTTATTTTTTTTCCTAAAATAATTCTTCCCAAGAACTCATCCAAAATAAATCCCATGTGACAGCAAAAGGAGGTGACATCCATCACTTCACCCACCTACAGACTGAAGCAGGCCAATTACAATGGTGTATCACTTAGACCCAGAAAGGGAAAACAACATGGAAACTACAGGGGAATAGTCCAAGTGTAATTGCCCATGTTGGAATCTGGGCTGACCTCCCTACTTATTACCATGGGATTATGATTAAGTGGTAAGGCAGTTCACTTTGTGAACCTGTTTCACCACTGTGTTACTCCTGTTTTATGCTTGTATAACTCTATTGATTTCACAGGAGTTGCATAAAACTGGAATATAGCAGCGGCAAAGCAAGTACTATAACAGATCTTACTTCGCAATGCTGCCTAACACTGTCTAGGGGCAGAACTTGATTCACCACAGTAACCAATATATGTGTTTGTAGCATCTGTTTAAGGACTATTTTAGGAGGTGTAACAAAGTCAAAATTAAAGATGGAATGACTGCTAAATGATTTGCTGTCAAATAAGACATACATTAGGAACTGAGAAGGAATGTGACAAATAACACTTTATTGAATCGTTCTTTTTCCATTTCATAAACATTCTCTGTATTCCTGAATTCCTAAGAGATCTCGTTTTTTATTAGAAGAATGTGATGGCAGCAGAGATGCAGAAAGACCATAGTTAACTCAAAAAAAAAAAAAGTTTTTACGGAAAATGTTTTATGTAATGTTGACAACACCTAGAGTTGCTATAACTAAGCAACAGGAATTTTCAGATTTGTATGTTCAGCAGCCAGTGCCGTCCCTGGGTGGGGACGAATCGGGGCGACCGCCCTGGGCCCAGCACTTTGGGGGATGCTTCCACTGCCAAGCACTGCCAGCTCCAGCTGGTGGCGGAAGCGAGGGGCTAACAGGGCTTAGCTCCCCCAAACAACGGGCAGCAGCCTGCATACGCTTAAGCTGTGCATGGGCTGCTGCAGCGGGGGGAGGAACAGGCACACTTGGCTACCCTGCACTTGCACGCAGCACTGCAGCTGTCCCAGCTGCATGCAGGCAGGTAAGTTTCTTTTAATCTTCTTTATCACCCTGGAGGGGTGGGCAGATTGAGACCCCCCCACAGTGCACGGGGGAGTGGGGTAGGAGGAGGGTGAATCATTCACCCCCCTGCCCCCTTCCTGCTGCACAATGGGGATTGTCCCATGAAACAACCCAGCTGAGGCCCTGTAACAGGGGGCCTACTCAGGGCCAATCTCTGTGGCCCGCCCACCTGTTCTTGGGCCAACCGCCCACCTTCTCGCCCACCATGCCTTGATGTTAATTGATTCATTAATGGATGTCAATTAAGCGGGAGGCTGCCCATTTTAGTGCCCCGATGCCAGGGGGCGCTCTCTGCGGCGCCTTTCCTCCCCAATACCGCAGCCCAAGCCTCGCAGATGGCATCTTGATGTTCATACAATCACCGGCCCCCACACTGGGCCCCATAATCCTCCTAACAGGACCCCTCTATGATCCCTCCAATCAGACGGCCTCTCCACCTTCATTCGGGCTTAGCCCCCCGAAACTATTTTCCCCTCTCGGGTGTGGTCCCCCCAGGACCTCTGGCTACTAGCCCTGGCCCACCTGCAGGCCAGTTGGGACCCCAGACCCCCGGCTCTTGGGCGTCCCTCGCAGTGGGCCCCTGGCCCTTTTGACCCTCCTGGTCCCTCCAGCATGGGCCAGTCAAGGGTACTCTCTCATTCGGGTCGGGTCTCTAGTCCCTCACTCTCTCCCAGGGTCCGCCCTCTGGGCCCCTCACAAACACTGGGGTTACCCACCCGGTGGTGGGGGCTAGGGGTTAAGGCGCCCCGACCTGCCTTTCACCAGGGTAGTAACTGGCCTGGCATTTCCTGGGGGCTCCCGCACCACTGAGAGCCCCACCAGGCCACCCACTCCCAG